GCTGTGGAGGGCAGTGTCACTGGCCCTCATATGTGGGATCCGAACCGGGGCCCTCTGGCGTCCCAAGCCAGTTCTTAACCACCGCGCCACTCGGCCAGCCCTCCATGTGAATTTTTAGAAGAATTATGAAAAAGAAGAGGAAAACCAATGTACTTAGATACCAAACTCAACAAAGTCTATTGACCCTTTCTTTCTTCAAAGTCATTCTCCTTCTCATTGACATTTGATGTTTAAAGACTTCTTTTGGGTTCTTTTAATTAGTTTCATTTACTGGTACCCTTTTCAGCAACCCTGATTCCTTTCCTGCCCTGTTCCTACAGCAGGCCCCAGGAGATGCCTGTCAGCCTTGAGAGAGGGTCCCCGTCATCCCTATCCTTGCTGCCAACCCCCAGAATCCCAAGAAGTCAGGGTCAGCTCAGGATAGCTTGCACGTTGCTTTTCCTAGGACAGGGTTCCCTGATATGAGGTGGTCTGAGATTCATTCCCGACAAAGTGCTGAGCTGGTCACGTGAAACTGTGGCCTAATCACCTCCCTGGCCCATGGCAAAATTGCTTTCCAGACCACACCATGTCCTAGCATTGCCCCTGCTCATAAGCCACATGGTCCCCTCGCTGGGGTTGCTAACGGCTGTGGTTGATGCATGTTTTCTTTCTTTTCCAATAGGCTCAACGGTTCTTATGAGGCCCTCACTGGAGGGTCCACAGTGGAGGGGTTTGAGGATTTCACGGGCGGCATCTCTGAGTTCTATGACCTGAAGAAACCTCCAGCCCATCTGTATCAGATCATCAGGAAGGCCCTCCGTGCGGGGTCGCTGCTGGCCTGCTCCATTGATGTGAGCCAGGATGGCTTCTCTTACACCCCCCCCCCCCCCCCCCAGTGTGTGATAGGAAAGGAGCTGGAGACAGGGCCAGAGGCCTGGGGAGGCTTTGGGCCGGAGCACAGTCTGGGACTTAATGGGCAAGTCTGGTGACATATTGGTTCCTGGCATGTGGGAACTGGCTAAGACCTAATTAATGGGTAGGAACTGGGGTTGGTCTCATTGTGGGAGCCTGATGTCCCCTAACTGTTAAGAGCCCCTTTGGTACTATGGGAATTGCCCTAAGAATATAGCCTTGATCCTTGGATCCTAGCCCTACCTTTGCTCTGCCTTTGTGCTAAGTAATCTTGGGATTTTGGAAGACAAATATGATGCTTGACAATACCTGATGGACTTTGAGGTCCCTGAAGAAAAGGGAAGAAGTGCTGAAACCAGGGGTCATGCTCTGTCTGGGGGTTGACTATGTAGATTGCCAAGGCGGCATGGAGACGAGAGCCCGGAGGCCACCAGCTCTGTGGCCAGTTGTCACCTGCCCCTCCCCCTGCTCTTTCTTCGTCTCCTGCCCTTACCTGGTGACCTCAGACATGTGAATGACAGGTCTCTTTGAAAACCCTAGCAGGATATGTGGAGAAATGTTAGGGGGCATTGTGGGGGACGGGAGGGGGGGTGGATGTGAAAGGACAGTTGGGAATCCGGCTCTGTGACAACAGTGGAGAAGCTGTGCTTGTCCAGAGCGGTCGCCATGGATAATTAGTCTTCCTCAGGCAGCAACTCTTGGAGAATAAATGACTTCCCGGTTTCCTGTGACATTTTCGAGGCTGGTAATCACATTCCAGGCTTGGCAGCCGCATAGCACCCTGCCTGGAACCGCAGGCCTAATTAAAGAGGGGTCGCATGGAGAGGCTCTGTTTACCTGAGGTTCACTGGTGCACCTGCACCCCCCGGCCCTACACTGGGGCCTCCGTGGCTGAGCATCATGTCCTTGGAAAGCACTATAGGACCAGCCCCAACAAGGTCAGGGTCAGCCACCCTCAGTGAACTTTATTTTCAACCCAGGTCTCCAGTGCAGCCGAAACAGAAGCCATCACCAGACAGAAGCTGGTTAAGAGTCACGCATACTCTGTCACTGGAATCGAGGAGGTAAAATCGACTGGGGGTGAGAGGAGGGCAAAGGTAACAAGCCGTGATAATACCGTAAGTCCAGGGCATCCCTGAGAGAAAGAGACAAGGGATCACCACCAAGAGTTTCCTTGCCCGGCTGAGCTGCAGTTGCTCTTCGGCTGCACGGAGCCCCGATACCACATGTGTGGTCAGCTTTTGCTCATCACCAGCGCCCTTCTGACGCTTACCCACTCAGAGGTGGGGAAGGTCACCTCTCAGAGCTATAGCTCAATGGGTTCTAACTAAATGCAGGCTCTCCTTACAGAGGAAAAACTGAGGGTTGCTAGTTGGGAGGGGGTGGGGATGAAGGAGAAGGGGAAGGGACGAGACAATTCAAAGTGGTAATTACAATATGGACTCAGGGATAGAAAAGACAGTCTGGGGAATATAATCAATAATGTTGTAAATACTTTTTAGGGGGCCAGATGGACTCATGTCTTGTTAGGGAGACCACTTCATAGTTGGTGTGGAGGCCACCAACTGTATATCTGACCACCGCACTGTATATCTGAAGCTGATGTTGAATAATATTGAATGTCAACTATAATTATATATACATATAGTCATGGGATGTGGAGTAGAGTGTAGGAATGGAGTCAATGGAAATATAATAGATTAAGTATGATATCGGGGATGGGAGGGCAGTAGATGGGGGAGGGAGGTTGTTTCTGTGTGAGGGGTGAAAAAAGTAACTATTGCATTGTTCTGTACACCTGAAACTAACAATAAAATAAATAAATAAATAAACGCAGGCTCTCTCCTCTGAGATGTAGCCAGGAAGAGGAAGGTCCTTGAGGGAAGCTGTAGAAATTGCCAGTTAGATTCTGCACTCATCCCAAGAAGTGTGTTTGTGCAGCTCAAGCAGGGGAAACCCCTGGCCTCCCCAGAGGGAAAAAAAGACAGTGATACCTGTCCTGACATTCTGGGTGAGGTATCATCATGGGAAGGAACACAGGTAGTTTTCATTCGTCAACCCAAGGAGAAAGTGAGGGCTAAAATTTTCATTGTTTTTATTTACTATATTCTGCCTATGCCCAAAAAGGATTTGAGGTGGTTTACAATGAAAAGCATAGACACAATAAGACCACACAACTAAGGTAAAATGCACCAGACAATCTACGCTAACAACAGTGTAACAACTGAGAAATGATTTTGTGTTGGGTTTCCCGACGGCCAAGGCAACAAGTGAAGTGCGGTGGGTGTCTCAGCTCTTGTTATTCATTAAAATGGCATGGATGTTCATCACATGTGTTCGTGTGGCATCAATATGCTCTTTAGTTACGTTAACCCCCAAGTATGACTACGTATAAACATCGGGCTAGGGCATGATGGAAGATATAAAGGGAAGTAAAACACTGAAGTCTCCACGATTCATTCATTGCTTTTGTGTGGGTGTATGCAGGCTCATAGTGACTTTGTAATAAATAGTAGGGGAAGGCAGTACGTATGGATTTATGAGTATGGGCTTTGGAGAGAGAGACTGGGTGCCCATCTCCATCTACCATGTACTAACCAGGCAACCTTGCATAAGTGAACACCTCTGAGCCTCAGATTTTTTGAGCTATAAAATGAAGATAATAACAGTACCCAGCTCACAGGGTTGTCTTGAGATTTAAATGAGACAGTAGCTCATTTGACAAGCTTAGCACCGTGCCCAGTTCATATAGTACATGCACAATAAATGTAACTGTTGTGCTATTAGTATTTGTTGGGAGGGCATTTATTATCATTAGATCTTGTGTATTAAGAACAGCGTCAACTATAAAACTCCAAATCCAAGTTAAAGCAGACATAAACTTGTTTCTGTGCTAGACTCACTATTTATTCAACCAAGATGTGACAAATAGAGCAGTTGGCCAGGGCCTGGAAACACACAGTAAAAGCAAATAAAGTGTGGTTGTTTAGGAATGTTCGAAAAACGCAATGCAAACCCTCTGAGGTAGACTTCAATGAGGGGCAGCAGGAGGGCACAACTGCAGTGGCTTTTGTGTGTGTGGGCCTTTTGCAGGTGGAGCTCCGTGGCTGTCCAGAGAAGCTGATCAGACTCAGGAATCCATGGGGCAAAGTGGAGTGGACGGGAGCCTGGAGTGACGAGTAGGTGCTGTCCTGTGTCCCCTAGACCCTGCCCCCCTTGGCGGAAAGACATCATACAAAACACACCATGATGACACTGATGGTCCAGTGAGCTCAGCAGCACCTTCTGTGCAGGAATGACACAGCCTTTTCAGAAACGTGTAGTAAACCCGTTCCAGGCTGGGAAAAGCCAAGCAACACCCGCATAGCTGGTCTTTGATTCTGGATCACCTCTTGGCAATTGCAAATTTGGCAGCTCCGTTGAATTTTGCTCAGTGCTGAAGGGTTTGTCTGTTTTCTGCCCGCCAGGGGTGGTGATCCAAAGGTGAGATCGATCACTCACAATCGGATTCTTTCCACTCCACAAACCCCGGTCACTCTGACAAAGGCCAAACCCCTCAGCGCTGAGAGGAAATGACACTCGGAAAGTGAAACTCTACCCTGGGAAGCAGCTGGCCGCAGCAGGCAGAGATGAATGGAGTGGCGGGCACTCTGTCCCGAAGCTCATGATGGGCGGGTATTGATCTCTGCCTGCAAAGTCCTTAATGACCAGACAGGCTCTTCTTGGGCAGGCTTCTCCTCAGGGGACAGGAAGTCTGTCTGAGATGGTGACTGGGCACCGAGGCCTCCCGTGGTGTCCCACAACCCCGCTGTGCCTGGAATCGATGTTGCCGTGGTGAAGGAGGGTGTTGAAAGCATGGAGCTGCTGGCACGGGGGCGGCAGGTTGACACTGGGAAGGAAACAGACTTCGCCAGTGTCGTTGATGCAGAGCCACCAGAAATGGGAATGCTCACAATAATAATCCCCCTCCCAATATGTCCTTAAACCTCGTGTGTACCCCACGGTCTGTCCTTACATGATGCCACTAGGGCTTTGGAAGGGAACTTTATTACATTTAAACTGCTCAAAACCGCAGTACTTCCCGTCAGGTTTGTGTCAGGAAGGGACACCTGTCTGTAGGGCCCAGGAGCAGCCTCCTCAAAGTTTTTGCATTCGACTGCCTAAGAGTAAGCAAAACCCCAAACCCCAATTCTGCCAACTGCCCCCAAAGAATGCCATGGCCAAATGAAATTAAAACCCTGAGTTTTGGCCATTTTAACCAACAGCTGTTTACCAAGCTGCCAAAAGGGCTTGTTTGACTTTCTCTCTTTTCTCTAATGCCACCCAGTCCCTAAGAAGCTGGGACAGGTCCAAGGGTGGAGGTGGTGACAGGCCTGGTGTGTGTGTGGACACGATGTTGGGGGCAGAGGGTGTTGCGTCACTGAGGTAGCAGCTCTAGGCCCAATGTCTAGTTCAATTAAATATATATATATATATATATGTATATATATATATATATATATATTTTATTTATTTTTATTTTTTTTTCACAAAAACCAACTGGAAGGTTACGGTCAGGTCTAGAATTTGTCCCCTAATCTTTGTTTATAACAAACACCTTCTGAGATGTGGTTCTGATCTAGTCAGTGTTTCGATGATTTAAAGAGCCCTGGGAGCTCCCCTGCCTGGTCCCTTGGGGCTCTTAGAGGCTGGGCTTGGGTGTGTGCCCCAGCTTTTATGCAGGGAAGGGGACGTGTTCATGTCTTGCTGAAAGCATTCAGGAAAGAGAGTTTTTAAAAAAATGGATTTTGATATTGCTCAGTTATTTAGCTGTTGCATGCATATTTCAGGAAAACCTAACTTTGTAAAGGTCAGGTAGCTGGAGATGGCATTTGAACAGTTTCTGGGTATGGCCACAGGAAGGCCACCAGCAGGAGGCCTCACAGGGCGACATTACCTTAGGGAAACTGGCTGGATTGTCATCCTTGCAGTCTCAGGAAGTGAGCCATGGCTGTGTGCCCAGAGATGGTCATACCGTCTCATAATATCTTCACCCCAGACTGACAGATAAGCCAGAATGACAACTTACTAATTGATAGTGGTGCGCATGCCTTTCTGTGACAGGCCTTCTCCCATGGCCTCTCAGACTCCCCCATTCCTGTGGTCAGGGGCTTGGGAGCCTTAATTAGAAATGTAAAAGCTACCTGAAGAGTAAATTTAGGGCAAGACCAGAGCACAATGTTCCTGTTGCATGTCCCCGGCTTGCGTCCCCTCCCCACACTGTGCACTCCCCGCCCCCGACCCCCCATACTCTCTGTTACTCATTTCCTCCCAGCTTTTTTTCTTTTTTCTTTTTGTATCTCCTTTCTGGCCTTTGGGGGGGAGTGTAGCTGCAGCGAACAACTTGCATCACAGCTAATTTTTCAGGAACGATCACCTCTGCTTCATTTTAAAAAATGTTTAAATTTTATGATTTTTACCCCAGCGCCCTGGAGTGGAATTACATAGATCCCAGGCAGAGAGAAGAGCTGGACAAGAAAGCCGAGGATGGCGAGTTTTGGTAAGAGGGCTGTCTACGGGAAAGCCAGCCCTAGTTGTGGCTTCACTCCCAGTTCGAATGTGGGCAGCATATTTCTAGGTGTTCCAGCAACCTGACATGGTTCCCGGCCGGGGGGCTTTCATTCCCCCCACCGTTTACGCTAGTGTAATTCTACCTCTATGCCAGCACGTCGAAAGCATTGAAACCATGATACCTGGGTCTCATCATGCAGGAGCTCGCAGCCTGTCTTTTTCACTCTCTGTTTCTTTTTAATGAAATAAGAGCACTCCTATTCCTTTAATCTGAGGTCTAGTGTACCATCAAACTAGGATAACTTCTTTCGCGGGTGGGCTAAGGAAGATGATGAGCACAGCCCTTGACTATGGCATGACTTAGGGGTCATCTTTCCACTGGACATTGGTCAGAACGAAACAGGAGGAAACCTCTTGTAGACTTAGATGTAATCCAACCTGGAGGCAGTGGCTTTGGCTGGGGTTACCTCCTGGGGTCTCTTCCAGTTTATGATTCATTCTCTTTGCTTGGCTGGTTAGATATGTGAGGGGGACTCTCTAGTGAGAACGGCGACGCTAACAATCGTGGGCAAATCGGACAATGGCCCCTGAGTATTCGCATCAGTGGGCTGTAGAAAACATTAGCCCGTGGTCTCTGTAGTTCCCTGTGCCCAGGAGGCATGCCTTCCATCACCTTCCCAGTCCAGCTCCCTGACAGAGAGCCCTCCTGTCCCTCTGCCCCCAGGATGTCTTTTTCGGATTTCTTGAGGCAGTTCTCTCGGCTGGAGATCTGCAACCTGTCCCCGGACTCCCTGAGCAGCGAGGAGGTGCACAAATGGAACCTGGTCCTGTTCAATGGCCGCTGGACGCGGGGCTCCACTGCTGGCGGCTGCCAGAACTACCCAGGTGAGGTGAAGGGCTGCTTAGGCCTCCCCCTCCTGGCTTGTCTTCCCCGAGCTGGGTGTTCATAGGTTAATCTTTGGGCAATACCTTTGCACTCTGTTCTCCGGCTCTTGGGCACCCCTCAGAGGCCCTGCTCCCCCCTGGGGCTTGGAAGCCCAGGGCAGCAAGGGTGGACAGGCTCTGCAGCCCCTCACCTAGGCCTGATCGCAGGTAACACCATTCTTAGCTTCTGTGCGCTCAAACTGTCCCTGCTTCACCTACTTGCCCCCTTGCCCCCAAAAGACGCGCTCCTTAGTAACTGTGCTCTTGGCACCCTGCACACTAAGGCCTCCCGTTCCTTTCCACCTGACCTAGCTGGCTGGCGCCCATCCTGCTGAGCTCTGGGACAGAGAGGCTAATGGTGTGCTAGAGGAACACGGGTGCCACATCTGCTGTTTCAGCTGACTGCGTCCATTAGAGCAGCCCTTTTGCTTTGTGTTTGCACCTGAGTCAGAGGTGGAGGGGCCTGGCTGTGTGGGTCAGGGATGGCCACACACGGCTTGTGAGTAGCCAGTCCCCACTCTCATGTGAATCATGGAACGCCATCCCTGGTGGGAACAGCCTGGTGCAAACCATTGCTTCTGCACTAACCGTCCTCTTACTAAAGGTGGGAAGCCCCCCATTCACAGCAGATCACTAATACATACATATGTAGGCTCCTCCTAGGTCGAGTCATCTGAGGCAGCACCTAAGGAAGAAACTCTGAAAAAATCGACCCCACATCTCTAAGGAGAAGGAAGCAAAGCAAAATCCACTCTCCCCACTGTCCACCTCCCCAGGCTTGTGTTCCCTCCCAGTCTATGGTGACATGTTGGTTGACAGAGACTGTAAGCACGGGACAGGGCCACCTGCTTTCTTCTCACACACAGCTCACTGCAGGGCTGTGCACGGTGTGAGGAAGCCCATCACAATAAAATCCCACGTGAGCACAGGCCTGGGTCTGGACCAGCTCTCTCCTCCATCCCACATCCAACCCAGGGCACCCATCTCTGGTGGCAGAGATCACTGCTGAGCAGAGAGGAAGCAGGCGTCCTCTCCGCCTGCCACTCAGCCTACCAGCTGTAGGACCCTGGGACGGTCCCTTTTATGAGCTTCAGCTTCCTAGTCCTCAAAAAAAGAAAAAAAACAAACAAAAAAAACGCTTTGTAAACGGCGAGTGTTAAACAAATGGGATGTATTATTTTTATGGCCCATTCTCATCTTCCCGTTCTGTTGAGGAGTAAACAAAAACTGTGGAGATGGCAGTCATGTTGCATGTGGGAGAAATTAAAATAGGCTGGCCATTAGCAAGCTCTTTAGAAAATGCAGAGTGAATTTGCATGGATCATTTTGGGAAACTTGGAACAGCAGGGGGGGTGCCGGAGGTATCTGTAAGCGGTAAGTCACATCTGTACCACCGGCTAGCTGTTGGGGAGAGATGGATGGCTCCTGCCCTTCGGTAATGATGTAAGTATACAAGCTTACAGAATTGTCTCTGTCTCCTCTGGGATCTGCACATATTTGGCTATAAAATCCCACACCCTTATGCCCCGAAATAAAAGAATCAGAAAGCAGGGATTCTAGGAAGGTGGCATGGAATAAATAACCTGGTTGTTAGGAGAAAAATAATAATCAGCGACTTTTGGTCACCTGTGAATGCATTGTTATTTCATTGAGTTAGACCCTTATTTAGAGGCAATAAGAACTCCCCTTCTCCCCACTCCTTTTCTTCCCCCAGGGCACGTCATTATTGAAATTGTTGAGGCCCTGGCATGGAGATGGCTGTCAGGCCCGTCTTCTTCAATTACGCTCTGCCACTTGACTGTCATAGAATTGCTGTGTGCCCTGGGATGACCCATTTGACCTCTCTGTGTCTTGGCTAGTATAATCGCTATGTTGAGAGGTTATTAAAAAAATCATATTTGAAAGGAAGCGGCATTTTTAAATATCCATAGGTGGTGTGGCAGGCATCCTTCTTAATTGCCAATTATTATTCCTCATGCATTATTAAGTGACTTACTCTTGAAGGGAGTGTGTCTCATCAGTGGGCTGCGACGCTAAAACCATCAAGTGAGGCCCCTGGGCTGATGGACAGACGATCAGCAATTAGGGTGGCTTCGGGCCGTCATCTGAAGCTGGAGCCTGTCTGAGGGGCAACACATGGCTGTCAGGCGGCAGTTTCCAAGGACCAAGAGTGGTTGTCTTCATAGCCTGTCCACAGAGGCCACCTAGGTAGCGAGTCTGCCCTGGACGGCGTTCTCGTCTGTCCCAGGAACATACATGCTTTTTACCCAGAGAGGTTCATTTCTCTAGGAGGTGGATCTGTCTTCATAGGCCAGGTGCTGAGACCATGTAGATGTCCACCATTTCTCCAGGAAGACCCAGGAGTGACCGCCTAGGGAGCCCCAGTGTAGCCTGGGGCCACAGGACCTTGAATCTCCTCTAGTCAAGCATGTCTGGGCTCCTGGTTGATCAAAGGGGCATGTGTAAAGCTTCCAAATGCGATGGGACGTGTCTGCAGGGGTGTGGGTGGGGTTGGGAACTAGAAGAAAATGCCCAACCTCCTTGTAAAGAAAATTTGCCCAGGCTGCTTACCAGGCAGAGTTTGGCCAGATGTATGCTGTCCTTGGGATGATGAACTTTCTTCCCTTTCATTTTATTCTTCCCCGTCTCCTCACCCCCCACCATGGCGGGGGAACCACCATCTCCTGGTGACTTCTAGCCACTTACTGGACCAATCCCCAGTTCAAAATCCATTTGACCGAAGTGGACGACCACCAGGAGGAAGGCGTCGGTGAACCCTGCTGTACGGTGCTGCTGGGTCTGATGCAGAAGAATCGCAGACGACAGAAAAGGATCGGACAGGTTTTGCTGAGCATTGGCTTTGCCATCTACAAGGTACTCCCGAACTGGGGTCAGCCTTCCTCGCACACTTGATGTCTTTGGTTGGAATATCTGGGCCAGTAATTGGAGCGTATCTTTCCTTTTTTTTTTAGCTGAGCCATCCTGCTACCTGTTGGCAGCTCAGCGGCTGCTCAGCTCAGGCTGGACTCGAACCACTGTTGCTCAGAGCTCAAACCCTTGAGTGAGCTCTTAACCAACTGAGCCACTCGGCCGGCCCTGCAGCGTATCTTTCCTATTGCTTGAATATTCCCAATCAAGCATTCTCCTTGCTCTCCTAAATGCCTCTTCCAGTGGCCTTACTGAGGCCCAAATTCCACAGTTAGAGATTCATTCCTATGGCTTAATCTCTGCGTTAACGTGAGATGTATAGTTCATTAAACTTTGCCTGTCACTGAGGGCTTAGTGTAAATATGCTTATTAGACTCTTTCCAGGTATAGGCTCCTGGTCCAGGTACAGGAGCTAAGAACGTGGGACACAGGCACTTGAGGGAACACAAAGAGTATGAGGGGCATCACAGAATGGGGGAAGGGAGGCTGGACATTGGATCCAATGACAAACACTCCTTTCTACCTGGGCAACTGTGAGACACTTGTGGGAACACACAGGGTGTGAGCTGAGATGAGGGAAGCCACCTACATGGCCATTTTCAGCTCTGGCATTTTGGGACTGGAGACCACAGCTGGCTCTGGTCTCAGGCGGCAGTGCCAGCCTCAATATGCCATTTTGCACTGGTCACCACCCCTTTGTGGATTTCACAACCTCATAGATATGTTAAAGCAAGACCCCTGGGTCTTGACAAGCCTAGTCAGGAACAAACTTTTTCAGACAGGCTGAGACTCCTTATAAACAATTCTGGAGGGATTCATGATGGTTGTCTTTAAGCAATTTTGGTAAAAATGAATTTCTTGGGAAGAGTACAATTCTACTCAGGGAGTCGGAGAGTTGGCTGGAGGCCCAACACTTCAGTATAAATTACTGCATGAACACAAAGTGTGATAATAGGAAACCAGTAAGGAAAAGGTCAATTGTCAAGCTCTTACCACCTCCAGCCCCTTTCTTTCTCTTATTTAGGAACTTAGGGCTTTAGGGTTTAGGGTACGTGGATGTGTGTGCAATTTTTGTTGGAACAAACTTGCTGCTTGATGGCAGGAGAAAAGAATTTCAAATACGTAAGCTCCAATTCTACTCCAGGTTAGCTCGTCCTTTCCCACCTAGAATGTACATAGCACCAAATTAGAGTCTTTGCTTATAGGGATAAAAACACGAGAAGGTGCTTACTGTATGCGTATCAATTTAACACGTTTTAATGAGCATTTACTATGTGCAAAGTGCAGTGCCGAAAGCTGAGACACAGAGGAATAGCACACGGTTACTACTCTCAAGGTGTTCACAGTTCCAGGGAGGAAATCAGACACAGTCAATTAACTGCAGGGCAGGTCCGATCTGCTTTGATGGGGTCCAACCTGGTGTGCGAAAGTCTCCGAGAGTGACAGTTTCACGGAGGAGGAGACTTTTGATCAGGGTTTCAATGATGAGCTGGAGTTTCAAGGTGGAGAAGGGAGAACATTCCAGCCAGAGGGGGTACCATGTGCTTCTTGATAGCAGGAAAGTCAGTAATGGTTTTGGAGAGCACATAGTAGGTGGGCTTGGCTAAAGGGTGGGCTCCTCAGGGATTGTGGCCATAGCTCCTCATCCACTGGCCCTTCCTTATGTAACCAGATCAGCAAAGCATTCTTCCAAACGGACGTGAAATACCCCACTGAGATAGGTTTTTGGCATGGCGTTTCCTCTCATACATAATATATATGTATATATAGCATGTCAATTTTTCAGACATCAAATTATAGCCGCCTATAAAATAACCCATGCATGTGATCTGTGGACTTTCTTGTGGCTGGAGGCATGAAATTTAGAGTATGACTTTTGTGAACACAAGCAGTTTTAATTAGGTGGAGTGGGGGTGTATAGGGTTATAGTGAGCACCTGGGGTTGTAGGGAGCGCCTGGGGTTATAGGGAGTACCTGGGATTGTAGGGAGTACCTGGGATTGTAGGGAGTACCTGGGATTGTAGGGGATAACTGGGGTTGTAGAGAGGGATTGTAGGGATTTTAGGGGGTACTGTTCTCTGACTCTTATAACTACCTCCTCTGGCTTTAACTGTCTGCAAAGTGGAGTCTGGTTTGAGGTTGAAAACCTGACACTGATGGAGAAGACGCCAGAAACCCCGAAGGCTAAAGAGCCCTGCTTGCCTGGCCTCCTCTCTCTCCCGTTATTTTCCTGCAGTGGCAACAGGCTTCCGCCAGGCAGGCCTGCCATGTGCATTCAGGATCCTGCATTTCAAAGGTGGCTGTCAGTTGCCATCCATCAGTGGGCCAGGGCTAAGGCCTGCTGGCTCGGCTCCTGCCCTGTGACTCCTGGCAGGGTGGATCCGGTGCCAGCGGCAGTGGCCGTGTGTTGACTGGAAAGGCAGCCAAGGTGATTGGGACAGTCCCTGCCAGCGGGGTGAGGGGAGAGGCAGATACCAGGAGGACCTCTCCCATAGACAGCTGGGGCCTCTGCATGGGTAATTTTGGTTTCAACTCAAAGTTAGAGGAGCCACAGTGACCCTGGACTTTCCTACCTCGGCTGACAATTACAAATGGGGGCTCCAGTGTGAGGAGGCCAGCTGATCCAAATTTTCTCTTTTTTTCTTTTTTCCCCAGCGTCGTAGGCAGTTACCCACGGACCCAAGCCATAAACAATTCCCTTCATGCTTTTCTGGTCAAAAGAGCCTGCAAAGCAGGGACAAAGGGAGAAAGTCACAAAGGGGGCTTGAACCCTCTTCTCCACCTTGGCATGGAGGGCTCACTGTGCCTCCGAGAGCTGGTCTCCTGTGGGAGTCAGCATTCTCAGTTGCAGATAATCGAGCCCGACTCCACCTAGATGAGTGAAAAAGGAATTCACTAGCTCATGTCAACAATTCCAGGGCAAGGCAGGGGCACTTGGGACAAGGGGCCCGCGTGCTATCAGGACCCCTGCTCTCCACACATCCTCACCGCTGTTAATACTATTCTCCTGGTCTAGCTTTCTTCACAGTACCCCTAATATCACAGCATAAACGAAGGGGTCCTTTTCCCTTAATTCCAATGCAAAATTCCCAGAGAAGTCTCCGGTGGACTCAGCTGGATCACGTGACTTTTCTCGAACCAGGCGCTGCAGCCAAGGGAAGGATACACTATGGCTCAAGTTGAGTGAGGCCCCCTTTCTGAACCCCCTTGATCTGGAGGCCAGGTCTATAGGTCTGTAAAATGTTAGTGTTCGTTGAAACCCCAAGGTTCAATGAGACCCCAGGAATTTGGGACCCTGAGTTATACAACTGTAGTTATACAACTACAAAATAAAGTAAAAAAGTAGAACCTTTTTTTCTTTTCTTTCCGATTTCTAGGGCTCAGTAGTCTACAGATGGCCTTGAAATTCATCAGCAACTTTCCAGTTGAGAAATGCTGACTCGTCTCTCACTTTAGCATGAACTTCCTCCCCAGTGGCCCAGGATGACTCAGTCTGAAGAGGGGTGGGTACAAAGGCACAAAGGGAGGACATGGGCACTCTCAGGTGACCTACTCTTTTCTTCTGTCCTATAGGTCCCCAAAGAGGTATGTGAGTGCTGACAGAGATGGCCTTCCTTTGGTAAGACATACTTTGGGTGTCTTCCTCTGATGACAGCCGGTTCTCCTACACACAGACTCCCCCATGATCCGGTGAGCTGGTAACCCTGAGAGCTGGTAAAGACAATCCTGAGTCCCACCTGCCAGGCCCCCCGTGGAAGGGGACAGTGGTGACCTTTGCCCCCTGTGTGCCTGGTGGTCCCATCTGAACAAGATGAGTAGAGCATAACTTAGGCTTCTCTTTACCTAGCCTACAGAAATAAATGCCCCGATCGCTGATAAGAAAAGGAAGCACCAACTTTATCTTTTCGGCTCTTGGCTTTTCCTGCGCCTCCTGAGTGATTTACAGCTGGGCTAAAGAGATATATCATCACTGTCATACTTACTTCTGGGGTTTCCTGCTGCTGTTCCCGGCTTCCCCCGGCTATGCCATTTGTCTTGGGCCAGTTGAAGGGAGGAGCCCCAGGCAGCACTCCTGGGAGGGGCTGGCATGGTTTGATGGCAGCCAGCGCGGACTCAGGCCCCAGTTCGTTCTGGCCCAGTGGGCCTCTCCTTGGCTATATGCTGGAGACACCTGAGGAGCTTTGAAAATTTGTCCCTGTTTGAGTGAGTATGGGTGTGGGTGTGAGTGGCCCTGTGATGGAAGGGCGCCCTGTTTAGAGGGGGTCCCCGCCTTGTGACCTAAGCTGCCTGCAGAGGCTCCGGCCATTAGGGACCCTGAAATTGAGTCAGCAGGTTGGAAAACAATCTTGTTTTTATTCATCTTTCTGACATGTATGTAAACAGAACTCACATTTATTTCAGTGTTTAATATTAGAAGGGGTTTGGGTCTTTATTTAGAATGTTGGTGATGTTTTTGTGACCTGAAATATGCTGTAGAAACTTAACTCTTGTGTCTATCAATGAGTTTAGTTTCTAAGAACCTATCGATGACATTGAGGACTTACTGTGTACCAGAATCTCTGGGGTGACTCCAATGTGTGGCCGAGGTTTAAGTACCTCTGTTCTATGTGGGGCTCCCCCAGCTGGAGGCAGGTGCACTAAATATGTAGAGGTGTGTTTACTCTGCTCTAGTTTTAACCCTGTTCTCCTAGGTTTTCATGCTTGGCCAGGCATTTAGCTTGTGGCAATGAGGCCCAAATTCATAGGCTCCAGCCCATGCCGTGTGCCAGGGCTTCAGACTACTGGTCTACCTGCCCATTGGCTCACGAATGGATGTTAATGATTATGGAGGTAACATACAGGGGAGCATGGATGGTCTGGAATATACACCTCTTCACTGCTAGAAAATAGCTAAATCCAAACCTGAGCTAAGTCTGGTCGATGGCAGGTCCCATCAGAAACGTCCCATTTATATGAGAGAGAGGTCATATGTACACAAGGTGGAACTTCCCCCAGTAGCACCTCCGAGTGCCCTCAATGTTTCTCCATTGACCCTGTAGGCTCGGCAAGCACCAGTGGGTCAACAGTTCTCAAAACACTGCCTTATATTGCTGAGCTCCATCCCTAGAGTTTCTGATTCTGTAGGTCCTGAGTAGGGTCTGAGAATTTACATTTCTAACACGTTTCCCAGGGAAGCTTATGCTGGTCCTGGGCCCACACTTTGAGAATCCCCTCAGTTAAACCTGCTCAACCCCCTACGTGTCCCCCCAGCTGGGCTATGCCAAGGGAAGATGTGAGGGCCAGGGGCCCGGGGGCACATGCCTTTTGGAGTCCCTGGTAGAATAGAGGGGACCCAGCTCTCGCCTCAGTGTGCTCTAGTTCCCACTCTGGTCTTCCAAGCAGGGCTTCTCTAGTCTGTCCCACCCTTGGCTTCTTGCAAGAATTCAGTTTTTCCCTTTCTCAGCCTAACCCAAATTGGAGTTTGCTTCCCCACTTCAATCCACTGAGTATTTTCTCCTGCTGGTTTCCCTGTTGCCTCCCCGTGCTGTCGTCAGGGATGGCAAGAATGCCATTTAACTCCATGACATTTAGACCTAGTCCGTGGCCTTGCTGGCTATCCCTGGCCTTCTCCTGCCCAGAGTACACACATTTTCAGGGGACTCCCCAGTGCTGTGGCTGCCCTGGTACCCCGGTCGGCAGGGGCTGACTGGGCGATCCCCGTGGAGTGCTGACCAGGGCAGTGGGGGCAGGTGGCCCTGCTCTCTCCCCTGCTTTGCAGACCTGTGATCCGAAGAGGATCTGGTGACCGGGAATGGATACTGTCCACTCTGGGGTGGGCATTCTGCCTCCGGGTCACATAGAAGTCACCGTCCTTGCAGCTTATCAGCACCTGCCCTCTGTCACAGGCATCTTGATGAAGATTGGTCATAAAGACACAGTGCAATGGAGGCTTAATTACAGCAATAATAACATTGACACCTGTGTTTTCGAAGCACTCTGCAGTCACTAATTAGCCTGTGTCATACTCTGACAGCCTCTCTCCCCCTCTAGCAAACAGATGGGTCATGGGGAGCGTCTTCCCCTCTCTGAGGAGACACAAGGCCCGGAGAGAAGCCCAGCTGCAGCCTCCCCTCTGTCTGTCTCCTTAGGAGCCGCTTCCTTGCCCATCCAGCCTGTCTGCCCTGGCACCTTGCAGAGCAATTTTCCCAGGGAGGCCAACCCTTCTGGCTGCTTTTGCTTGAGGACCAGGATTTAAACACTGCTTCAGCCACAGGCCTGAACTGGGGCGCTCCATGCCACACCCCAGGTGCAGCCACGGGGGAAAAGTGATGGATTCAGTGAGTGGGTGATTCTTGAAGACAAATACCCAGAGAGGAGCTGAGCACACACTAGAGGCCCTGCTGTTGGGCCCTTCATTTTAACTGGGAAGAGTGCTAGGGGTCTGGCCAAGGTCGCACGGTCAAGGTCCATGCCCGAGACCGTGCCTGGCTCACAGAAGGTGCTCTGAATACATTTGCTGATCAACATACTCTGAGTTCATGACAGAATCCAAGGCGTCCTGATTTCTTAACTCAGTGTTGCAAGTTGTCCATCCCTAAATCAGAGCGACATAACCAAACTCTCCAGCCCTCATGTTCCAGGGTTTCAGGGAATTGACTCTGACTGTTGCTCTCTGTGCAGCTGGAGAGTCACACAGACGTGCACCTGGGCCAGCACTTCTTCCTGGGCCACCAGCCATCAGCCCGCTCCAGCATCTATGTCAACCAGCGGGAGGTCTCAGCCCGGGTCCGGCTCCCCGCCGGGGAGTACGTGGTGGTGCCCTCCACCTTCGAGCCCTTCCAGGATGGAGACTTCTGCCTGAGGGTGTTCTCGGAGAAGAAGGCCCGGGCCCTGTGCGTGTCCTTTCTCTCTGTGGGTGTGGGAGGGTCTGGGTGCCCAGGGTGGCAGAGGACTGGGGCCTTGTTGCTGTGTGTGACCCACTCTCAGCTCCCGCCTGGTGTTTCCCAGAAGAAAAGTGTAACGAACCACAGGCCCCAGGGGCCCTTGGCTAGGTGTCCCCCGACTGCCCCTCTACTTTGGCCTATAGGACACGGGGGAATTTTCTTTAAAAAAAGGTCAAGGCTAGAGAGAAACGACACCAGTAACAGCCTGATCAGAGGGTTTCCTCCCAGCAGGATGGGCATGTGAGGCCCACAGAGTAGGACTTAGAGAGTACCACCTCCTCCCCTTGTACAACCCCCCATGTATACACACGCATACACACATGCATACATACACACCACCTATACACACATACTACACAAACACACACCACACACACACACACATACATACATACATACCACCCATACACACACACACCACACATGCTTACACACATGCATACATACACACCACCTGCCTACACCACCCATACACACATACCACACATATACAAACACACATACACATGCACACACTACCACATACCACGTACGTGTGTGCATGCACACATGGGCTATGGGTTTGCTGGCTCATTCCACAGAGGCCATTTCAATCCCCCCCAGAAGGATTCCCAGCTGGGTCCCAGGGAAGAAAACAGTAGTAACTGGGGCAGGGTGGGCGAGATTCTCCCCAAGAGTGGGCCACTAGGGTGAACCTTCTAGATTCCATGAAGGGCCAGTTGAACTTGGCATCTCTTGTTTCTGGTAAAACAAAACTCAAGATGGGGTTTGGGGATTAGAGCGGTGAAGGGGAGGGATTCTGGTTAAAATATCCGCTTGACACAGTTTGATGCAAGTTTGGACTGAGGGTCTTGGGGAGTGAAAGCCAATTCCTCAGAAGGGTAAAAAATGCCCTAAAAGGACCTAGCCATTAGCGATACTTTCTACTTAACTCTTATTGGGTTGGTTTCTTTCTTTGTGTTTCAGGGAAATTGGGGACGTGGTCACTGGAAAGCCACATGAGGTATGTACTCTCTTAGTCCGCCAAGCTCATACAGTCATCGGGGCTCCTCACTGCTTCCTGAGAGTTCTTTATATAGTAAAGAGGGTCCTTTACACACCTAGGACTTTTTGTTCATCAGGGCCACAACATTTCTAGGCCCTGGCTCTTCCTGAGAAATAGGAGACAGAAACAGCCCTGGGACACATTGCTCTGCCCTGAAGGGGGCAGAATGTGAGTGTCCCCCACACCCGGTCAGCTGGACCCGCAGAGCACCCGCTGTGTGCTTGAGCAGCTCCATGCAGGATAGCGAAGGCAATGGAGAAAGAGATCCAGTTCCCTGCTCCTAGTCTTTCGGTAGACAAACAACGGGAGCATGTGAAAAAGATGACGGGACACTCCTGCCGGAAGTGGATCTACACCTGTGTGTGTGCATCTAGGGGTGGTGGAGCGAGCGCCTAGTCTGGGAATGCTTCCTGGAGGAGGTGACTCCGAGCAGACTGTGGAGGAAGAAACATGCAGGGTTTGAGGCGTAGGTTCACCTGCCTTGCTCCCTGTACTCCTCCCTTGTGTCCTGGATTTCCTGTCCTTTTCCTCATGTTGAGTGCAGCTGCTCCACGAGGGGTAGTGTCGTGGGGCCACACTGGGCTGGCCGGGGTGGGGCAGGACTCTGTTGATGGGGCACAGGCCCAGCTGTCACCACTCCATCCTGTCCACCCAAACAGAGTGAGGTGTCCCTGTAGGGGCCACATGGGGCACCCCACAGCTGCTGAGTCTTTGGCTGCATGGATGCTGGGGCAGACCTATTCTTTTATTTGGCATATATCAAATTTGTGAGCCCACGTTTCTGAGGAGGCATGGGGAGGTGCCAAATCCGATCCCCGCGTTAACTTTGCAATTGTCCTGCCTCTTAGCCACATCCCAGCGACGGGGATGAAGAAGACATCCAGTTCCAGAGCCTGTTGAAGCTTGCAGGGGAGGTGAGTGGAGGGCAGCTGCAACCTCCCGGACGGGCAGGAAAATGATCAGGAACGCTCAGGACACTGTAGTCTGTGTTTCTGTGAGTAGAAAGGGCGAGGCTGCAGGGCTCACACCGGCCAGCTTGTGTCTGTTGTCCCCTCCTTTGTTAAGACTGAAGCCCTTCTTGCATTGCGTGGGGGGAGTGCTGGTGGTCCTGAGGCCACTTTTCTTACTGTGTTGACTGCCTCCTAAAAATATAGAAAACCTGAGACTCCAGGTCCTGCCCAACACCTTTCTGTTTGTACACTGGCCCTGCCAGATCAAGGCCCAGACTAAAATGTCAGGGTGGCAAAACTTCCCTAAATCGATACCCATCAGAGGTGGGAGGACTCACTCAGCGCAGGTGGAAGACAGCTCAGCTCACCTGGCCTGGGCCTGGTGCTCACTCTCCTGCCACCTTACTGGACCTCAGGGTGACCAGCGGCACTCGGCCTGCAGAACTCAAGCTTGGCCTGAGTGCCAGCACCACTCAGGGGTGCATGGAGCCAGGGAGACAAGCCATGTGAGTTGCCTCCTTCTCCCCCCATCCTGCTGATGTTGGTTTATTGTGGTTCCAGTCTTGTGGGGCCGTAAGTCAGAGCAAAGTCAGGATTCCAAGTGTCACAACTGGCCCAATAACCTCAGTGAACATGCTGCGTTTGAAGCATAGTGAATCGTGCCAAAGGGCCTAGGAAGGTGTCAGCCAGCTCGGGCTGCTATAACAAGTACCACAGACTGGGCGGCTTATAAACCACAGACATTGATTTTTTTGGAGGCCGGAAGTCCTAGATGAGGATGTTTTCATGGTCAGGCTCTGGGGAGGGCTCTCTTCTAAGCTGCAGACTGCTGACTTCGCGTGGTGTCCTCACACAGTGGAAAGAGGGCGAGGGATCTCTCTGGGGTCCCTTTTATAAGGGCGCTAATCCCAATCACGAGGGCTCTACCCTCAAGACCTCATCACCTTGCATAGAAGCCACCTCCTTTCCAAAGAAACCACATTGGGGGTTAGGTCGCAACATATGAATTTTGGGGGACACAAACATTCAGTTCATAACAGAAGGAAAAGGAAAGCCCTCTGCCCCTCGGGAAGCCCAGGGCCACCTCCTAGACATCAGAATGGAACAGAAGAAAATGCATCAGAACCCTTTGCCGACGACAAAGCCTGGGAACGCAGCTCCTTTGCATAGCCGTTAAAGGAACCCTTGTAAAATGAGTCGATTTATATTTTAGATGGATGTTCAGACCAGTATTTTTACTAATAAAACTTGATTGCCTTCGCTGCCAAGGGGCCATATTTTATTAAGCACATCAAGGACCATGAAAATATAAAAGCTCCTATTTGTATACCAGTTCTTCACGTAGCTTATCTGTTTTCCCTGCAGCGGGGGGGCAGTATTGGTCACTCTCCCTTCTCTGCTGGTGAAGGGACAGGCACAGAGAGGGTAAGGAGCTGGCTAGGGTACAAGGCCTCAGAGGGACAGGCCAAGGTCCGAACACAGACTTTCAGCATCCCATTGCTTTCGTGGCGTGATGGGGTGGTATTCTTATTCGGGAGGCTTCTCAGAGGTGCTCAGCTTAGTTTACTGGGAGTATTCCATGCCTGAATGAGACCAGCTGCTCTCACGGGAGATGCTGCTCTGAGCAGCTCTTGTCTTGATTTTTCTAGAGTTGCCGGGCCCCACTGGTGGAGGATGGGAGAAGTGGGACTGCCCTGGGGACAAATGATAAAACCACAATTCACGAGGGGAAGTGACTTGGCTAAGGTCACATGGCAAGTAAGGGGCAGAGTCAGGATGGGAATTCAGATCTCAGTCCAGCACCCTTTCTCTGCACTTCACTTGTCATCCTGCCTGAGGTCTGCCCTCCAGCTGGGGGTTAAGGCACAAACCTTCCCTCTGGCCCAGTGTTTATCTCAAACGCACACAGGGAGTCCTAGTCCCCTAAATCTCTACTACCAGGGTGAGATGGGCTACTGTGTGGAATGGCAGCTCCTACAGGTGCAGTGGGAAAAGCAGGTGCTTTGGGGTGAGACAGTCTTAGGTTTCGAGTCTCAACTCTGCCACTTGGTAGCTATGAACCCCATGCAATGGTATCGTATGGAAATGGCAAATTACATCGTGTATGTATAGGGCGTTCAGCAGTTTACAAAAATCACAGCTTCCTTAACTCTAAAGTGGATGCAAAAAATAAATAAAAATAAATAAAGTGGATGCAGACTTGTTTTGAAAATTTGAGGCTATTCCACATTCTGGGTGTGGCCCATCAGAGTGGTTCCTATAATCTGCTGTTCACCAGACTTTGCTGTCAGGTAAAGCAAGCAAGCTGTCAGAAAGGCAGCAAGCCCCCGTGTGGCAGCCTTATGGTGCTGATGTCATCAATGCACACTTCCCCCCAGGCTGTGGGGGACCCCAGAGAAATTGAAAATTTGAGTTTTTAAAGATGTCACAGCCTATTGAAATCACAGGGTCCGTGGACCTGGTGTCTGACTCTACATTAATTTAACATCTTGGAGAGCGTGGCCGGGCCTGACGTGACTTGCATTTGGGTTCCTCTTTCTAGGATTCTGAGATCAGTGCCAATGAACTCAAGACGATTCTGAATGAGGAGTTTTCCAAACGTAAGTTCTACCTTGGGGCTTTTCAGAAAATCCACAAAAGCCTAAGAGATGCTGGGGTATGGGTGGGGGCAGGCATTGGGCCATGAACACTTGCAGATGGGGGAGAGGGGACCTTTGGCCTTTGACCCCCGGTTCCCTCTGGGCTGAGAGAGTGGCCAACAGCAGGTAGGAGAGGCCAAGGGAGGGGGCGGCTGGCTGGGGCTGGCTGGGTAGGAGGGACTGCTGATTCCTGGGAGAAAGGAAGCCCGGCTGAGAGTGGCCTAACTGAAAAATTTCCACAAAACGAATGACTTTGATACCGTGGAAAACTGCAGACTGAAGATCTCACTCTGTAATGCACCTTTGGGGAGGGATGGTTCTGACTGTCCTGGACCGCGGCAGTTCTCATCTCTGGCTTTAGCAAGTCCTGGGGGCTGTCAGGGATCGAGCTGCACCCAGGATGGAAGCCTCGCTCTTCCTGTCGGAACCCAGCCCACGTGAGCTGGCACAGAGCCGGCTTCTTGTCTGGCCCGGCGATGGGCCAGGTGAAGTCTCACAGCTGGTTGACCGATGGGCATTTCACCCACCATAGCCAGATGGAGGTGTGAGAATGCAGGACACAGGGGCGTGCTTGAGCGGCCAAGTGCAAGCCCTCCCAGAGACAGGGCAAGCCGCTCCCCAAGGCTCAGAGCGCAGGGCCTGGCTGGATGGCCCGTCCTCTCTGCTCCAGCTCTCACGCCTGCTTTTGCAGAGTAGGAGCTGGGAGGACAGGAGAGGCCGCTGGGTCTTTGGTGCCTTCCTACCTTGGCTTCCAGCTGTGGGCAAGGTGAGCGTGGAGGCCAGGAATGGCTGGAGTGCCAGGGAGAAGCCTACATTTTAGCCAGTTAGGATAACAGCTGCCTTTTGAGAAGCTGTGTGTCCTGGTTCAAAGCACAGCCCCACTTCCGGCTGTGGTGCCAAATGGCCTGTTTAAAGCCCAGCTCTGGCCCCTACTGGTCATGAGGTTGTGAGCAAATTATTTGACCTCTGGGCCTCAGTTTCCCTGTCTATAAAATAGAGACAGTGCTTAGAACAACACCCAGTCAACCAAAAGTGAACTGTTTTATTTCATTAGGAACTTATCACATACCAAGTACTGTGCTAAGAACTTCACTTCCATAATTTCATTTTATCCCTGGCCAGTCTTTGGGGCAGCTGTTATTATTATTCTTAGTCCCATTTGATGGAGGAGGAAACCAAAGCTCAGAGATATTAGCTTGGCGAAGTCTGTGGCTTGTGAGTTGCAAAGCCCAAGTTCAGATCCTGAACCCCGACACTGGTGCCCACCTGTACCACCTCCCAAAGTGTGAAAAGAATCGGGGGGCCTCTGCCAAGAAGCCCACCGCTGTGCTCCCCTTTTTGTAGAGACCATATTCAGCTCCACTGGCGGCTCCCTGCCATGGAAATTATTTCCTGTCTTCAGATGATCCTTCGTCCCACCCTTTTCTACTTAAATTTTTTAGGAACAGACATAAAATTCGATGGATTCCACATCAACACTTGCAGGGAGATGATCAGCCTGATGGATGTATCCTTTAAATGGCACATTATTCATACTTTGTTCCTGTTTTGAATGATTCCTCAACCTTTCCCAGTGAGGAAGAAAGAAGGGTAGAAAAGGGACATTTCAAAACCCAAATCCCCATTGTTCAGCCCAGGGCTCCTCGTAGAGTAAATTCAAATTGGACACAGAGAATTCCACAGGACTTTCTGCCTGTTTTGGTTGAGTAGTGGCCTAGGAGCCAGCTGTGCTCCTGTGTCCCCGTGTCCTTGGAATTAGTGCTGAGAAGCTTGGAGCTCCCTTTGAGGCACACGGATAAACACGTGCCAACTGCGGTGACCGAGAGTCCCCACCCTGGGCTCCTGGTGACTTTTCTGATAACATTTTGACATTCTAACCAACTAATTATTTCAATGATCAATCACAGAAATTTAAATTTGAAAGCAAATTTACAGATCCGATAGCTCAACCCTCTCAATAACCCAGGATGCCTTGGGGGTTAGATGCAAATGAATGACAGATATTATTAGGGGAGCTTTGGGCTCTTGACCTGCCCTTTGCTCCCAGACATCTCAAAGGAGAGCCTTAGTGAATGTCTGACACTTTAATCTTTATTAGAATGTGTTTCCCACCCACCCTCGCCACCGTGACCCACAGGGCCCTGCTTACGTCAGACATGACTGGTCACGGAGGCCTTAAGACACTCACTGTGTAAGGTCACGAGGGAAAAATCCACAAGGCATGGAGAATTTGGGCTTGATCATGTTGGCCTTTAACATGCCCAGAGCGACGGGACAGGCACCTTGGGACACGTGGAATTCAAGTTGCTGTGGTTGAAGATTCGGAAGTACCTGGTGAGTCTTCTGACTGTTGGGCGTTTCTGGACTCTGGTCCCTCTCCTCTGTTCTGTTTCTAGCCCCTCTCCCTCCTGACACTCATTCCTAGTCTATTTCATGCCCTGGTCTGATTAGCTCCTTCATCACTGTGGTCAAAGCCAACACAAATCCTGGATGCATTATTCAGGAAGCAGTGAGAAGGCAACAAGAGACGTTTGTGCCAATGCCCTCGCTGAAAGTCGGAGGACAGAGGGGCTGGCACTGGCCCTCAGCCCAAGCTCATGGTTGTTCTGAAAACTTCTTGGCAGGAGTCAGTGAAGTCTTCTCTTGAGGGCGTCCCTGGCCTTCCGAGGAAGCAGTGGAATGGAGGGAGATAGTTTTGGAAGGGTCCTTGAACAGCTACGTTCTCCCTGGATTTTCTCTCCTGCTGTAGGAGATCTATCTGGAAACGGATTATAACCACTCGGGAACTATCGATGCCCATGAGATGAGGACAGCCCTCAAGAAGGCAGGTGAGGACATGTCCTGGAGACAAAGGTATTGGGACCCAGTTATGCCCATTTTAGTTATTCTTATTATGACGACGGCTAACGATCATCAGGGGTAGTTCTCTTACATTGGACATCAGTGTGACAACAAAGATTGGTTGGGCACCTTCCCTCTCAAGGGAGGAAGGAATGCTGCTGGCTTCTGTGTGGTGAAATACTTTAGACTTGATGCTTGTCACTGGGAAGGTGACCGCAATCACAAAGGGTGGAGCTGTGAAGAGGTGGGCCGGAGAGGCATCCTCTCACCCCTGCTTTTTCTTGCCATGGCGAATGTGATGCCTAGCTGTGTTCATGTTGGAGCTACAGGTCCAACTAGGACCAGAGAAGAGGCTCATCTTGATGAGGATTTTCTCAGAGGAGACCGATGGGAGGACCAGACCCTTCTGGCGTCCCTTGGAGGAGGCAGGGTCAGGCCTGGTCCCTGCAAGTTCAGCCCATTTAGTTTTACCGGAGGTGGTGCCGAGCCCTGCACTCCACCTGTGACGCAGACCCCTCTGCCCGCAGGATTCGTGCTCAGCAACCAGGTACAGCAGACCATCGCCACACGGTACGCTTGCAGCAAACTCAGCGTCGACTTTGATGGCTTTGTTGCTTGTATGGTCCGCCTGGAGACCCTTTTCAGTGAGTCACTCTGTCCTTTGACCCAGTCCCATTTCTCCCAGGGTACAAGGAGGGACGGGGGCAGAACAGACAGCCTTCTGTGACTGTGGCACCCTTGGGCGAGGGGAAACAGAAGCGGAAGGGGCTGAAGAGGTCCAAGATGGCCACGCCCAAGATCAGAGCCTGCCTTTTCTTGGAGACTTAAAAAGCTGCCATCCAGATTATTGGGTACCTACTATGTGCAGTCACTGGGCCACAGTGAATGGGTCCCGGTAATGATCTTTAAATGGCTTTTGGTGTCTATTCACATCTATGCCTCCATAGGGCTTGTATGAGAGCAGGTGTCACCTCCCAAGGAGGAGATAGGTGTCCCTGTCTGGAAGGCAATAGGTGTTTTCCTGCCCCCTTGGCCTTGGGCTCATGCTAAGGCATCCTGTTAAGGGAGAAGGTTTTCCTTCCACTGAGGGGTGGGAGTTGGTAAGTTCTATGGGATAAGTTCAGGCAGCCAGAACTGGCTAAGGAACTGGATTACCCACGCATGGGCAACCAATGTCTGTTCCATGCCCTCAGCCCTCCTCCACCCACTGTTAAAAGCGTTGCAAGTTTCTAGAGCTTCTGAGGGTGGAGGTGACAGATAAACCATCCCTGCTTACAGCTGGAAGTTGGCGTATTTAGGCGGGGGTGGGAAGGGGGTGGGGGACGTGGGCATCTGCGGCCCAAACCCCTCACCCTGGGCACTGGATCTAGAGCCAGCTTCTCAGGGCCCCTGCATCTAGGTGGGAGCTGGCGGGGGGGGTCATGCAGGGGAAGGGGGAGCATACCAGGTGGGGATGGGGTGAACAGAGGCAGCTCTCTGGTATTTCCAACATCTAGGAACATCCAATTCCATTCCTTCTCTGGTGTTCTAGAACTGTTCAAGCTTCTGGACAAGGACCAGAATGGCGTTGTCCAGCTCTCCCTGGCTGAGGTAAGTGACTTGAGTTTTGATGAACTGCTTGCTGACGGTACTTTGACATTCTTGGATAATATAGGTGCTGAGTAGTGTTTATTTATATTGACTTGTCCTATTTCCATTGGGTACAACACATGTTCTTTGACAGGCATTGCAAAGAGGAACGTCATTGTCATGTAGTCTTTCAACATTTTTATTAATTTTATTAATTTATTATTGTTGTTGTTGTTGTTACTATTATCAAAGATAAAGCTACAGCAACATTTCAGATCATTTCAAGGATGCAAGCCCTTGTTAATTTGAATGTAATGGTAGGTGGTGGGTACAATTGAAAGTGTGTGACTTCTAGGACCAGATATCTTAGATTGACATGGAGGACATCAGAAACAAAAACATTAAATTGCAACAAGATAGAATGAAGAGGAGAGATAAATGAGTGTTTTACTGTGTACAAGTAACATAGCATCTTATGCAGACATCACCACAGCATTTCCACTGTCGGGGGGCTGCAGAGGCCTTTACTGGCCTGCGGGGACACAGGTGAGGGAATGTCCTGAGAGTCCTGGCCAGGAGGGAGGTGTTGCCCTTGACCTGTTCTTGAGGCTGAGGAACTAGAAGACAAGGTTATTCCTGGCCCTGCCAAGTGATCTGGGCACAACAACTTTCTTTTCTTCTCTAAAGTGGGAATGTCATTGACCCCTTTCCAGTGATCTAGGGAAAGCCTTCCTAAAAGCACATCTGAGGATGCCCACAGTCACCTGGACAATAGTGTTGAACCTGACATTGAGAGAGAGAGAAAGAGAGAGAGAGAGAGAGAGAGAGAGAGAGAGAGAGAGAGAGAGAGAGTGTGTGTATATGTATATNGTGTGTATATGTATATGTATATGTGTGTATATATGGATATATATGTATATATGGGTACACATACACGCCTATTTTTGGAAGTCCCTTTGGGTCTAAGCTTTTCCTAAGTCATTTCTACAGCTCTGGCTCAGGGGTTGGTGACTTAGTTAAGGGCTTCTCTTACTGAGCAAGGCATTTACTGGAGGACGGAGATGGAATAATCTCATATGTGGGGCAGGACAACGCCTGGCAGGGTCACACCAGGTCCCAGAGGAGCAGAGGGCTCACCTGGCATCCTTCTTTTGCAGTGGCTGTGCTGTGTGTTGGTCTGACCCAGGATTCTGGACATCGGCAATGCTTCCCGACAGCCTGCCTACCTCTTTTCTCCCCTTCTTTACAATTTTGTGGACGTGTATCCTCAAATGGCATTTATTGGTCATTCATCTCTTCCTTGCCTGTCATTGTTCCCTGTGATCCTGGCCTGTCCCGCTGGAGCAGTCAGGGAACCCAGGGTCTCTTTCAGCAGCATTGAAGCTGAGCCCGGGGCCCGGTAGAGGGACAGAAATCAATTAAACGTGTGAGCCCAAATGGTTTCCGCTTTTCTCTTGTGATATGCAATCTGGGAGTGCCTTGGGCTTTTCATACTTTAGGAAAAGAACATGTTCTTGGGACATTACTTGGCTCACAGCTGCTGAAAGATGGGGAATGTGGGTGAATTTCTTGGAGGAGAGGCTTCCTACAGATGGAGTTGCTTCCAGGGCCCATCTTCTGGAAAGGAGCTGGCTCCAGCCCTCCCGAGGGTGGGCTGCTGGGAGAACAGGCCTCTCTTTCTCGCTTTCAGGTGGGAAAAGTACTGTATTACGCGCATCAGTGTCTCCCGAGTCTAAAGGAAAATGCTGTCTGAGGGGAATTCTTACCTGACAAATAACTAGAGGGGAAATGCAATTTAGGTTAGTTTTACTCACAGCCGAACACAGGGATTTTCTTGTTGGTAAGAAAATGGATGTCACAGCTTAGTGTCCTAATGGGCAGATAGGGACAGAGCTGGTTCTCGTACGCAGACTTTGGAAATGAAGGCTTAAGGAAGGTGAGTGTCTCAGTTTGGGCTGCTAAGCACCGTAGACGAGATGGCTTATAAACAGCAGATGTTTACCTCCCACAGTTCTGGAGGCTGGAAGTCCGAGCTCAGGGTGGCAGCATGGCCGGGTTCTGGTGCAGACCCTCTTTTAAGTCCAGACTGCTGATTTCTCAGCTGTATGCTGACGTGGAAAGCAGAGAAAGGAAATGAGTGATCTTCTTATTCTTAGAAGGGCACTAATCGCATTCATGAGGACCCCACCCTCATGACCTAATGACCTCCCAAAGGCCCCCCCCTCCTAACACCATCACATGGGGCGGGGATAGGGTTTCAGCATGTGAATTTGAGGGACGCAAACATTCTGTCCATATGGAGAGCTACTGGAGACAGAGCACAAGACCATGTTTCCCAGAAAATAAGACCTCACTGGAAAAGAAGCCCTAGCGTCATTTTTCAGGATGCTCGTCATAGAGGCTCTACCCCAAACATAAGCCTCAGTGAAGATCGTCAGCCAGACGTGACTGTGGGAATACATGTAGATTTTTATACATGAATAAATGAATACTCGTAGATTGTTGGAGCAAAAATTAATGTAGGACCCGGTCTTATGTTCGGGGAAACACAGTACATACCTTGGCCTCTGTGTTAGTCTGATTAAAGGATGATCGTTCAACTTCTAGAAGTAGAGCTAGATGAACTGTCCTTATAGGAGCAGGACTCATAACCGTGGTAAAGCACCAGTCAGCTTTAGCGCCGCCTTCAGTGTTCCCAAGGCCCAGTAGGGAAGAAAGGGTAGGCCCTTAAACTGAAGGGGGAGGTGAGCTCTGGGGTCTTACCGCTGCAGGGAGAGTTCCATTCATCAGACGGTGGCGAAGGAGATGTATTTGTTTCACCAGCCTGTGGGGCGCAGAGGAAAAGGAGTCCTTCCTTGTCCAGTCAGGGCTACGAGGGAGCTTTCATTGGCAGGACTCAGCAGGTATATATCCAGCCCCCTTCAGCTGCCCCTATCAGCCCAGCTGGTATTAGTCTGACGCTCACCAACCAGATATAAGTCCCCATGCTACCCCATTCTTTAAAAATAAAGTGCTACAAACCAGTTCTTTCTTACATTTCACAAATAACATGGCTACTGGAATTTAAAGTGCTATGTTATACTCCACGTGTGACAGGTAGTTTTATTTCTCAGACCCACAGGCTTCAATTCCTTTAGGGGATTGTCTGGTGGCCAGAAAAAGAGTCTCATTACAAAATTTGCCTTGTGGGTGGGTGGAGGGGAAAGGGGGTCTCAGGGCCCAGGTTAGGGTTGTCCTGGGGACTCCTCACCGAGGCAGCCCATCAGGCAGGTAAAGATCCCAACACTGCATAATTTTCCTCTGAAACACCTTAGAATTTGCTTTTATGCTTCTCTCTTCTCCCCAGATTAAGGCAACGGGCAGTGTCGCTTTTTGGTGTGGCCTCGCCATTGCCTCTGGAAGTGGCTGCATCTCAGGAGAATGGGTCCCTCATGAAATCCATGCTCCTCTGTGTGGATTTCGCAGAATTTCCCCCCGCCAGCTGCACTTGTCCTGTCAGAGATACAGAGGACAAACTGATGAGTGCCAGAGGTGAGGGCGTTGCGGAGGGGGGATGGATGAAAACGATGAAGGGGGCATAAGAGGCACAAACTTCCAGCTATAAAATAAATAAGTCACAGGATGTAATGTACAGCATAGGGTATATAGTCGGCAGTATCGTAATAACTTTGTATGGTGATAGACGGGTCCTAGACTTACTGTGGTGAACCCTTCATGCGGTATGTAAATGCTGAGTTACTATCTTGTTCACCTGAAACTAATATAACATTGTATGTAAACTGTACATCAATAAAAAGGAGCCCTCTCCACACGTCATTGCCTGACTTGTGTGCTCCAGTCTGAGTCAGAGGGCAGAGTGATTTTCTAGTTCTCCCAGAGCCTGGAGCAGTGCCTGGCACAAAGTGAATGAAAATGGTGTCCTGTTGTTTGCAAATGATCAGGCTCTGTAGAGCACGGGGCCTGGCTTGCTTCGTTTTTCCAGGAGGGAACTGCTGAGAGCAGATGCATTCAGGTGGCCTCTGAGGGGGGTGTGAAGGGCTGGAGAGCTGGGGAGAGGATGTGGCACTTGCAGGGTCCCCTGCTGAGCTGCTCCCTCCCCAGGCTCCGCCCCCACCCCCACAATGCCTCCAGTGGGCAGAACCCTGTGCCACCCTGCCTTTGATTTGTGCCGAGAATCCCAGGGGAGCTCTTGGGTCCCCCATCTTCTGTTAGGAGGATGAAGCAGCTTGGTGGGAGGCCCAAGTCAGCCCGGAGAGACAGCTGCAGGATGTGAGTCACCCGTCCTTGGGGCCACTCCAGTCCTCCCCAGCCTGCAGAACCCAGTCATGTCTCCTCCAAAGGCATGGCTTGTTCTCTCATTAGCAAATGAGGGGAAACACGTGCCACCACGTAGATCCCACACTCAACTGAGACCGCTGGGCACATGTAAGCTGACATTGGGGTGAGAGACAGGCAGGGTGTACCAAATAGCCTGGGTCATTCCACAGCAGCAAGGCCATCTCTAGAAGTCTGTATCCTGAGAGAGCTCAGAGCCATGCGTTAGCTTTCTCCTCACATCCGCCTGCTCAGGTAGGGCTTTTTGTGGTTACGCAGAATCACAGAAACAGCTTGGAGCAGAGCTGGGAGAGCCAGGCAGACAGCCCTTCCACAGGCAACAGGGGGCTCTTCCGGCCCAGGTCCTGACAACATTGGGGGTCTCAGCAGCCCAGTTCTCCAGGATTATGCTCCTGCCACTTCTGGGTGGTCTCGCTCTGGCTCCTCGCCTCCTCTCTGATGCCAGCTGCTCCCCCTGAGTGGGGCCATTGAACAAAGTCTTCCCTTCCGCGTCACCTGTGCTCTCTCTGCCTGACCAGGTTGACTTCCTTCTTCTCACTTCAAGCTGCCTAGCTTCTCAGATGTCCAGAGTCTTTTCAGCTTTAGGTGTTTCTGTTTCCTGCAAGCCCCAATCCTGCAATTGCTTCTGGCTGTGGATGCAGGACACTGCCATCCCCCCAAACCCCAGCCCAACACTTTTCTGCTCTTCCACTGGGGCCCCAGGCCCTCATCAACCTCTCCCTTCGTATATTAACCTTTCCCTTTGATTTATGGGCTGGGCTGACCCGGAGAGTTCACCTTACAGACAGTGGACCGTCCAGACGCCCCCTAACCTCTCCCTGTACTTCAGAAAAGACAGCATCAGAAAGGCCCTACTGAAGCCCCCAGATGTTATCAATCAGATTGAACAATTTTTAATATTTCACCGTATCTGTTTTATCATTTTTTTGCCGCAGGAACTAGCAGATATCATGACATTTTACCCTCTAATATGCATCTCTAGGAAAGAGCATTTTTAATACACAGCCACAATACTATTATCCAACCTAACAAAATTAACAATAATCCTTTTGCACACCTAATAACCAATCTGTATTCAAATCTCCTTGGTTGACTTCAGAGTATACGATTATTGTCGGTTTACTTGAAAGGGGATTCAACCAAAGTCCTCACCTCGCCCCTTTTAATCTCAAACAATCATCCCTTTTTCCACGCTATTGAATGAGTCATGAATAATTGGACTTTTAAGAAAGCACGTTGGTAATAAGATTTAGGAAAAACCCAAATAGGGTTCCTATTACAAGGCAAAGGAAAGGGGTGTTTATGAGACAGGGAAGGGGAACACTCACATCCATAAAAGGAATTTCTAGGGTTCTAATCCTGAAGAGCATTTTTAATCTTTGTTCCGTAGTCATAATGTCCACTTTCTTGTTTATCTTTGCAAACAGTTGTTTAGGATACCATGCTGTTTTATGTCCAGCCCAACGGCTGTTTTGCCCCATTTTAACATTCCAAAGCTTTGAAGAGTAAGACCTGCCAGGCAGTTTCTCTGGAATGGCAGCTCCAACTCCATTTAAAGTGGCTCCGTTTGTATTATTTTTCACTCCGGGACTTGGCTGCACCTCAGGGACCTTCTATCTTGGACCTAAAATTGATCAGGACCGAAGGGAAGCACAAGAAGCAAAGCTCAAAATACATAAAAGAGACCCAGACTCTGCCTCTAATATTAACCTCAAAAACGATAATAGTAGATATTAGTAGCATGTTTCCTGGGGCCCAGCAGTGTTCTGTGTACTTTCATGCGTCTCATTCTCGTTCACAGCAATCCTATAAGGTATGTATGTATTATTGTGTATGTATTATGTATGTAATAATATGTATGTATTATTATTTCCATTTTACAGATGAGGAAGTGGAGGCACAAACTGGCAGGAAGATGACATTCCAGGAAATCGATAGAAATGTGCTCAAAGGTAAAGAAGGGCGGTGGTGATTCGTGTTGAATTGGATGAATGACATGAGATTCCAGCCCAGGGGTCCCAACCCTTTCAGAAAGGTCTGCAGTGCAACCTTTGTTTTATCTTCGCCCTTGTCCACCAGTGAGCCGCTGCTTTAACATGCAGAATAGCTCACTGTGGCCTCAGGTGTGTTGTCTCGGGGGAGTTTCTTCCCCGTGTTGTCAGCAGGTGGCCAAGCTGTGTGCTTTCTGTGACAAGCAGGCAGCCTGAGCGGAAGCCCTTCCAGAGCTTTTCATTTCTGAAAGCTGGGCCTCCTGGATTGACCAAGGAGGAAGGGTTGGAAGGGTTGAGAAGAAGGGAGTCCTAGAGGCCAGGAAGGAGGTTCTCCCAGCAGGGACCCATGCCGAGGCATGGGCTCAGAGATGGAAGGTGACCTGAGCAAAGACCAGCTGTGGGATGAGTCCGCCCGGGACCACCCTGGAGCCAAAGGGCCACCGGCAGGACCTGCGCCTCCTAGGACAGCGAGCTAGGATGGCATCCATGGTGAAGGGGCAAGGTGGACACCCTTTCCCCATATTCCGGTGCCCTGTAACCCAGCCTGTCGAGGGAGGGAGCTGGTGGAGAGGCCTTCCTCTATGGATGCAATTGTTCCCTTTCCCTTTCTCATAAACACCCCTTTGCCTTGTGGTAGGAATCCTTTTTGGGGTTCTCCTAAATCAGTGCTTCCCCAATAGCTATTCACTTGGATCTCAAATAAATGCTTGTTGCCTCTCACTTTGGTCTTTCATCTTTAGGTTAACGCCAGAGGCCCGTGATGACGCCAAGCCCAGGGAGGGGACTGTCAAAGTGAGTTTGTTTCTGAGTTTTCACTGAGGGGAATGGCTCTGTTAGTAACAGCACAGGAAAGGAGAGAATTCCTATTCTCTGGGATTTTAGAAGGTACTGTGGCTCTGTGTGTAGTGTAAGCCTTCCACTTTGGTTTGTTGAATTGGATTCAACAAGGAAGAGAGGATCAGGAGGTTAGAGACATTATCCGGCCATGAAATTCAGCCAAAATGATCCTGCTTATTATGCTCTGGGAGTGATTGGCAGGGACACTGTTTCAGAAATTCATGGACATTCATGTGTGGATTTGCACAGTGGGCTTACCCAGCGGGCACAGGGGGCTCCTGTCTGGCCCCCAAGCCCCTCCTAGAGACCTGGAGTGGATTCCTGTCCCTGTCCTGAGGGCAGCAAGGTGGGCTCTCAGGGGCTGGAGCCATGTTCTTCAATTCTACTCAGTAATTTAATCCATAAATGTGCCTAGCATCAACTGCATGTCAGGCTCCGTGCTCGCCCCGGGAGATGCAGGGAGGGATGCAGAGATGAATAAGCTTCTGCTACCCAGAAGCTTACAGTCTACTGGGGGACACAGACTCATACACAAGTTAACAACAATTTACAACAGTGTGACATTAGGGCTAGAGGAGAGGTACAGGAAGTCAGGCCACAAGAGGAAAGAGAGGTTAATGCTGTCAGGACACAGAGCAGACTTGGTGCACATGGGCAGGGATTTAACAGCTGGGACTTCATTCGTTCGTTCATTCATTCATTCAGTATTTATTAAGCATCAGATAAATTCTAGGTATTGTGTGGACACTGGGCTCTTCTGGACGAATCAGAGCTGCACTGTGACCTTGAGGTTGTCACTGCAGCCCCGCAGGACAGCCTGGGCCAGGAAGCAGCCGTCTACCTTGCTTACTCCCATCATTTGAGTCATGATTCTGCTGAAGGTGCTTTTTTCTTTCTACATCAGAGAGAAATCATTTGAGGCTGTTCCCCAGATAGGGCAAGATCTGTGGCCTCCTGAGGTTCAGGCTGCTTGGTAATGTCTCCCTCTTCCACTCCGTGAACTGGAAGGACCCCCAGAGCTCATTGGATAGCTGAGAGACACTTTTTGGCAGTAGGTGAAAGCACCTCAGTGCAGCCATCTGTGGCCTCTGCAGCTATGTCCTCTACCCCCAGGATGCAGAAGAGCGGGCCAACCCCTCTTCTCCCCAACCAGAGGCCCAGGGAGCGTCCTTTATTATTGGGACTGTCCCTGGGTGAGCCCAGACATGTTGCCCTGGAGCGAGAAACAATCCAGATGCATGCCTGATGACAGCTCCGTAGGCCTCCTATATCCACCTGCATTCTTGAAACATTCACCACTAATTAATTTCTGAATTACATAACAATACACTTCCTAATTACACAGGGGGAGCACTAGCAGCTATAAAGGGTCGTTATCTATTGCACAAGTGATTTTAATAGATGCTCTCCCAGAAATGAGAAGGAGGGAGGGGAAGTGGGGAAGGAGAGAGAGAGAAAGATGGATAGATTGAGACTGAGAAAGAAACTCTGAGTCTTAGAGGCTGGCTGTCATCTGGAGGCACTCAGCTGTCTGGGGACCTCAGCCACCCTCCAGGAGACACGCAGCTGTCTCCGGACTCAAACAGAAAGTGTTTCCTTGCGATCCCTGCCAATTGTGCAAACACCAACATGGAAATGTAAATAATAACACGCAGACATGATGCTAACACAATTATAGCCTGGCGTTATGAGAAGAGACTCACTGGGGACTGGCCACGTTTTCATGTCTCCAAGTCCCATTTTGCATCGTGGTGATTAAAGCAGAGACTAGTTTCTCTATCTTTTTTTTGTTTTGTTTTTATTGCCACATGGATTTGTTTTTCTTTTGTATTTATACCAGATTGGATAGCACATTAAAGCAAGTGGCTTTCGTATCATGTTGGAATATCTGGGTCATCAAATGTTTATCAGGCTCATGAAACATTATTGAGTACCTACTGTGTGCAGGGAAGTATGCTAGGCAATGGGCTGCAGACACGAATGATCATGATATGATATCATATGATCGTGATATGATACCATCCCTGCCTTAGGTATGTCACTATAATCTGAGGAGAGAAACAGGTGTAAAATCAATATGGCTTCAATAGGAGGCAATGGGACAGTGGTGCTGAGGGGGCCATGAGGGCCCTAGCTCCATCTTGGGACTCAGGCAAGGCTATGAAATAGGAGTCCCCTCCAATCTTACCTAGATCCTGAGGACCAGGGAGCCCTCCCTTACCCTCAGCACCTGGCTTACAGGTAGAAGGCCAGGTAGGAAGGCTGTAAGCAGTGGGTAGTTAATGCAAGTGATGACTTATGTCTGCCACAGTCCCTCAGGAGACAGAAACCACAGCGTTATTTGATCAGAAAGAATTAAATGTAACAAGTTGTTAACTAGGTATAAAGTTATATAACTAGTAATTGGGTAAAAAGAGTGCTTAAAGGTATCATGGGAATAACAGCTGTAGGAAGCTACTACACCTAGGGCTAAGTGAATAAAGGGAATTAAAACGTAGAGACTTAGAAGAGAGACCCCATTGGATTGAAACTCAGACCTTTGAGGAGCTGGTCTCTGAAGAGGGGAAGGTTATGCCACAAGGAGGCAGTTTTTACAGCTGGAGGAATAATTGCAAAGTGGATTGAGCTGCTTCTAGCGCCCCCTGTTGGTCGAGCCGAATGTTGAGCCAGGTGGCAACTTAACACAGGGCACATAGATTCAGAAGGTAGGGTCATCCCAGGATTAGGGCTTGCTGACCCAGAGATATGCCCCTGGGGGACCATCCAGGGTGTGTCCATCCAGCCCCAGCATTTACCTGTCCTTGGGCTCATCTGCTCATGGCCTCCGGGTTTCCCAAGGGGACAGTTGTTAAGGGGACAGCTCTGAGCCAACTGGGGAGGCTTAGTGTAAATCTTGAGGCTTCAGCCTCCCCAGTCAGGGAAGAAAGAGATTATTGCACTTCAGCAGGGACCTCATGGCAGCTTCACTCTGAAGGTGGCCATAATTGTAGGGCTGGGAGTCGGGAGACTTGAGTTTTTATTTTGTTAACTGTCCAGTGATAGGTAAACACTTCACCTCTCCTGACCTCAGTACCCACACAGTCTACGCTGGGAGCACGTGTGTCTTGGATCTGTGTCCTAGTTCTTGTGGGCCGTCATGGAGGGCTTTGTCTGGTGGCTCTTTATAGCAGCTCCCAGCTTATGCTGGGCCCTGGCTGATGCTCTTGACTGTGCTAGCAGAGAGGCTGTGTGCGTGCATCCTGCACCCCTGCCCTCCCTCACCAGGCTCTCCACCCCTTGCTTGCAGCCTGGGGCTCTGTTCTGCATTTCAGTTGATTATTAAGTTTGAATTCAGTGTCCACAAGTTCTTTCATTTTGTTTCACATGCTGAGTCTCGGGAGCCCAATATGCAAATTTATGGAAAGCAATATGCAAATAAAGTGTAGGGCACCAAGCCTGCTAGAGAGGAAACTGTGAACTGTCAGGGGACCCAGGCACCCAGCTGGCTGTATGCTCCACGCCCCACCCCTCCCCATGACTTTTCCAGGCCTCGGTTTCCTTATCTGTAATGTGAGGGAGGTGGGCTAAAGGGTTACTCAGCTTCCTTTCTGGCACTCCAAACCCACCATTCTGTGTTTGGGAAAATTATTAAAGTATCTATGGAGAGAACAGCTTCTGCAATGGTCCTATTTCAGCAGGAAGGTCTTGGGGTACAGTGAGTGGGAAGCTGGAAACCTAGGGTATAGGGGACCCTTCCAGTGGAATTTCCGTGTCCTTATCCTTGTTTGGTCTTTCTTCTTCATCCCACTAAGGTATAAAATTAACAACAATAACAGCCAACAGTAGTTGAGTTTTTCTATATGCCAGAATTTCTATGAAATGTTTTATGTATTATCTCATTTAATCAATAAGGCATCGGGGCTAAGAGCTAGGGTTGTGGAACTGGCCATTTAGCTGCAGAGCCAGCTCTGCCACTTGCTTGCTGGCTGTGTGGCTTGGGCCACCTGGTTAACGGTGACTTTCCTGTCCCTAAATTTTCTCACCTGGAAATGGGAATAATTATTGTACCTACCACATAGGGTTGTGGTCAGAATTAAATGAACTGATCCATGTGTTCAGAACAGTGTCCGGCACGTGGTAAATACTCCATTGCAATCTAGCTATCAACACTACAAGTGCTGGTACTCTCAACAATCCTACCACATGGCACTGTTACTCCCTCTGACTGCTGAAGAAATTGAGGCTTGAGAGGTTAAGGGTAGGTGGCTGCTTAGTCAGCTCGGGTTGCTATCACAAAATACCACAGCTGGGCATCTTATAAAGAACAGACATGTGTATCTCACAGTTCTGGAGGCTGGAAGTCCGAGACCAAGGTCCCAGAATGGTCAGCTTCTGGGGAGAGCCCTCTTCTGGGTTACAAACAGCTATCTTCTTGTTGTCTTCTGACGTGGTGGAAAAAAGGTGAGGAAGCTCTCTGGGGTCCCATTTCTAAGGCTCTAACCCCATTCATGTGGGCTCCACCCTCATGACCTAATTATTTCCAGATGCTCCACCTCCAAACAGCATCACATTGGGGGTTAGGTTTCAGCACATGAATGTTGGGGGGGCAGAGACATTCAGTCCACTGCAGAGGTCAAAGTGGAACTCACGCCTGTGAATGTCCACACACGTGCACTCCACACCACCTGTGCTCCTGGAATGATCCCCTCTAGCCTGTTCCTCAGCACAGGGCTCAGGGTCCAGGCCCAAAAAGTGTGTGTCCTCATCCCTTTCCTTCAAGGCTCCAACAGCTCTTCTCTGAGACTCTCAAATTGAGAGAAAAGTATGTTAATTCACAGATTTCCCCACAGAACCAAAGGGAGAGGTGAAGGGTAAAGCCAGCCTGTGATGAGTCCTTTCATAGCCTGACACAACTCTCAAGGCTAATGACTGGAGTCGAGGGGCTGTGGCCCCAGGAGAGGTCACTGGTGGACCCGAGGCCATGAGCCCAACCACAGACTCCGTTACCTCATGTGCTTGGGCTCCTGGCACTGACTTATGTCAGGGCCGGTGAGCGTGTCTATACCCAGTGCATGTGCACACACTCAGGTTTATCTATTGGACTAATGAATTCTGCCAACACGATAATCAGCAGGAACTGAAAAGTCAACCAGAGCTAATTCTTTCGAGAGTGCAATGTAATTAATTTAAAACGACCAATTTAGTAGAATGGTAACGATGAGGCTAATGTTGTCTCCCCAGACGACAATCTATTAGTTGTATGGGGCCTTGGCGGGAGGTGGGGGGGGGTAGCAAGAAAGCAGGTGGCCCCGCAGAAGTGTGGCTATCCTGCAGGCTGCCTCCCCGCTCCCCGGCCTCTGCCTGGTGCTGTGGGATGATGCTTCTCCTGGGACACAGCAGTGGTGGGACCCCACTTCCCTCATTGCCATGGCCCTGAGGGACAAACCCATACCACTGTGGCTGATGGAGGCTGCTTGTTCAGGAAGATGTGCTGGCTCCAGATCAGAGAGCTCGGGGGAGTCTTAGAGACTTAGGGAGCATCCCCTGTTTGGACAGGCCTGGACTGAACTCTCATTGCCACCTCTGGCCATGTGACCTTAGACCAGTCATTCAACCTTCTGATCTATTTCCTCACCTGTCAACCGGAAATGGCATAGCCACTTCCTGTTGCTGTGCAGGGTTTCCTTCTCTCATTGGCTGTAGAAGCATTAGAGACAAAAGCTTTCTGTCACATGCACACTTTGCACTTTCATCCTGGTTTATGTTGCTTCTCTTTCTTCTTTTGCTTCTGCTTTTTTTTTTTAAAGATTTTTTTATTGGGAAATTGGGGGAAGGGGAACAGACAAGTTGCTGTCATTTTGTTCTTCAGTCTAGTTGTGGAGGACGTTGCTTCACTGGCCCAAGTTGGCACCATCATTGCGCTCTTCCCGGGCGAGGCAGATCAGTCGCCGGCTTCTGGACGGCCGCTCACGGCGGCTGCTGGCCGCTCACGCTGGCTGCTGGCTACACACGGTAGCCCATGGCAACCCACTGCCACAGGGGCTGCAGCCTACGCCATCCCCGGTGACTCACAGCAGCCCAGCTCCAGGTTGAGCTGTTGTTCAGCATCTTAGCTATAGAGGGCAGTGTCACTGGCCCTCATATGTGGGATCCGAACCGGGGCCCTCTGGCGTCCCAAGCCAGCTCTTAACCATCGTGCCACTCGGCTGGCCCTGCTTCTGCTTTTAATTCATGCTAGTTGGTCTTTTATGCAGCCTCATAAGGCTTCTTAACCCTTTTCCAGAATAAAGTGGAGGATAAATAAATTACAAGTAGTTGTGAGGATTAAGTGACAATTGCAAAGTGTCTATGCTTTACACTTTACGGGTGCTCTCTCTCTCTCTGTGTCCCTGGTGGGGTTCCAATGTCTGCTCCCCACTCCAGGTGAGGGAGGGCCGCACAGATCAGGGCCTGAGGGGAGCCAAAGTCTGAGCTGAATAGATGGCCCAAGAGCTAGGTCCCCACAAAGTCAGAAGTAAGATGGAAAAGCTGGAGCCAAGGCATAAAGTGTGTGTGTTGGGGGGTAAATTTCAGGGGAGCTATGATAAAGAAGGGCAAAAGGGTGGCTGTGGGTTCTCGAGCTGAAGTGCTCACACCTGCGGCCACTCTTTATGGGGTGTGTACGGTGCTTTAAAGGAGTCAAATTGGGGAGCCAGTGGGGCCCCATTCGGTAACTATGGGGCATGGATAGTCTGGGAGGTTTCTGTGTGCCCAGAAAGGATGAGAGAAGTGTGTTCTGGGGGGCAGGGTGCCCACTGAGCCCTGAGGGGTAGGCCAGTGAGGGACTCTCGTGGGCAGAGGCCAGGGGACCAGCATAACTGAGGTTCTCTCAATGCACACTCCTCTCAATGTCACCATTGGCCAAACCAAACATGCTTAGAGCAGAACATCAGGGAACCATGACCGTGAGGTGAGATTGCCACCGGGCTTTCTCCTCCAGCCCAGAGGTCATGTAAGTACGCCAGGCTCTCAATTCCATTGGCAGAGACACCGAGCATCTCAGTGGAGAGAAGATTCTTTCTTTGAGTAGGAGTTTAGTTTTCTCAAGCCCGATAAAAATGAACTATTAGAAGCAGCAGACAGAGAGAACGTTTAGACAAAATTCCAGAGAAATGTCAGGATGTAGATTGACTAAAAACTCGGGCTCTGATTCTCTCAAACTTTGAATCCCCATTTCCTAGCTGCGTGACCTTGCACCAGTGGCGAAGCCTCAGTTTTGTTCATCTGGAAAATGGGGTCATAGTGGCTCCTGCTGGCCTGACTGGGTAGCTGTGAGACTGAGGTGGGTTAGTGCATGAACAGCTCTGGGAGCAGGGACAGGCACAGGGCTGGTGCTCCATCCGTGTTATCTTAGTATTAAAAGCAAAAATCCCATTCAGAAAACTTAGAAATGTTTTTGTTCTTTAAAAATACATGTTCTTCCCCTACCTTCTTGACCTTGGGAGGCACTTGTTCCAGAAAATATAATAACTTCTTTTGTTACGGTAATGTTAACGACTTCTACTCTCTGACGTCTGCTCAAGTCTCGTAACCTGATAAAAAACTGAGAGATGCCAGGCTGCTGAAGAATTCTGTTTCTGAGAGCACTGTTTGAAAACAAAACTTTAAAGCAGTTTGAAGTAAATTCTATTACATTTCAAAAATATTAGGTGACCAGGGACTCATTTACATCCAATTTACCGAATATGATTTTCAATGCAAACAAATTAGACACAATCAATTTTTCTATTTCCTCACATCTACAGGAGAGTTAAAAAGAAATACAAGTTCAATGAGTAAGGGGCGCCCACTTCCAGACTGCTCTGCTCAGTGGTGGGATTAAGTGGATGCAATGTGGGTCTAGGCGTGCGCGGTGGGTTGTGGGTGTTGGGAAGGTAAGATAGTGCCGGCCCCCCACTCTGTTCCCCTCCCTGGCCCCACAGAGGGAGCAGAAGCACTGCTTTTATGGGGATAGGGAGGCTAGGGCCCAGGGATGCACAGAAACGGAGGGTCTTCTCCCTGATGGCTTGGAGAAAATGGAAAAAAAGATGGCGTTACTTCTGTCCCTGAATGTTCCTGACTTTGGGAAAACCTGGAGAGAGACACCCAGCTGTGTCACCAGAGACACCAGACACAGTGCCTCCATGCCCTGGTGAGAAAGCTGCCCTCAGGGGCCTTTTGGGCAGTGGTCATCAGAAAGGAGGGTGGCTGGGCCAGTACTGTGTGAGACACTGCCTTTTTAAGACTGCTAAGTTACTCACCACTTGTCCATCTGATTTCCAGCTTCAAATTTTTTTTTTCCCTAAAAAGAATTCCTTGCGGAGGCAGGGGCCATATGAGACCTCTCTGTAGCTTCCCCCCAATTTTGCTGCAAAACTAAAGCTGCTCTAAAAAAAAAAAATCGTCTTAATTCAAAAAAAAACCAAAAACAGAGCTCAGTGGAAATGAACAGCAGATCACGCAACAGGGCAGAAAATGGACTCAACCCTAAAAGGAGCAAGTTGTTTAAGTGGGCTTTAGGGAGGGAAGAATGTATTCAATCCATTATGCTTACCCAGAAGTCTGCCTTTTATTTCAAGTCAGTGAATTAAGTTGTTTAGAAAATTGTTCGTTTCATCCAAGTTTTTTAACTTCATTGGCATAAAACTGTTCCTACATTTTCTTCCGATGTTGAAATCTCTGCTGTATTGTAGTTCTGTCCTGACTCATTCCCACTGAATTTTATTTGTATTCTTTCTCTCTTTGATCAAATCTTGTCAGAGTCTTGTCTATTTTCTTATCGGGGCTTCAAAGCATTGGCCTGTTCCTGTTCCTGTCTGTCTCATTTTAGAACAGGCTTGGCTCGTCACCAGGATGGGACTTCGTGTTTGAATCTTTGTTTTAAGCTCCGAGCTAGGACACCAAAGTTGTCCCACGAAAGGCTTGTGTGCTAACTTTTTCTGAGAAGAGTTTTCATGCTAAGAATGAAGCCGACGCAACACTGTCGTATCAAAGATGGAGAGGAATATGTGGGTAGGAGGATAGTTTGGCCTTGAGCTGCCCTTGAAAATGACATCTACCTAATGCTAAATGCCATGCGATTGGGACAAAGAAAACTCCCCTTTATAAGGCCCTGTGGTGCTCAGCATAAAGAATTAGCAACCACAGATAAGACAGCAAAAATAGTGGTTATATTTTATCATCTTGCTCTTTTTAGAGAATTAAAGGCAGTCATCAGTAGAATCCATGTTACCGTAAGTACCCCACATCAGGGCTGTTTTAATATTTTAAGTGGATTTTACTGCTGGTGATTTTGAAAACACATACAAACACACATCTCCTGCTGTCTGCCTGTGGTGATGGGGAAATAAAGCGCAGGGACAGGGTCTCTGCTGACACTTCATTCTCAGGACACCACAGGTGCCTCATTCCCAGACACCTGCTTTCCTGATAGGAATGTGTGTGTCTGCCTCTAGCGATAATTTTTTCCCATCATCTATACAGCGTTTTCTATATATATATGACAATCACATACATGAAGAGTTATTTACGGCGCACTTTGTAAAGTGCTTTAAAAATACAGTTGCTACTCAGCTATTCCTTACAACTCCCTTGTGAGGGGGATCATGTCTGCACATCCAGCTTTGGAGGATCCGGAGGCATAATGCTTGTTGTTCAGGCCTCACAAGGAGTCCCAAGCAGCAATGCTGGCTGCCACCCCAGGGCTGCCCATGGGCTCTGAACACTTCTATTTGTGCTGGAAGCTTCCTCTGCAGGAGACATTGCCAATTCAAGTGAGAGCGCCACAGGGATCAGAAGGACCGTGAAAGCGGGTAGCTGGTGTTTGGCTAAGGCATGGTGACCCAGGGACACTCGTCTGTGCCAGGAGCCCAGGAGCTTTGGGGCAGAAGAGCTCATCCCTATGAACGGTGACTTCCCTGAGGACACACTTCTGGGATGGTCCACGGGGGCTGTTATTCTATAATCTGCGCAGAAGCTTGGCAGCATCACTGGGACATGGGCGGGCCCTGTCCAGGCTCTCCCAGGGGTAAGCGGGAGGGAGGCGGGGCTGGTGTCCTTGGTCCCTGAAGGCCAGAGCTGCTCCTGACAGGCAGGTGCAGCGGAAGTGGGCCAGCAGCCCCCGTGAGGGCAGGCCCAGGGTGGGTGGTGTGGAAGGAAGGGGCAGGAGAAACGAACCCAGAAATGTCCTCACAGCAGCAGCTGCCGTCTTCTCCCAGGCGCTGAGGCTTGACTTCTCTGTGGGGCAAAGAAGAGATGGCTCTAAACAAGAGGGGAGGTTGGGGGTACATGTCCGGTTCCTCTGCGGAACCATCCAGACCCTGGCTGATGCCCTGAGTGTGGGGACTCATGGGTGGGACCCCCCGCCTACCTCCTCCCTTCCTCCCCAGCTGGCAGTTGTGCTGTGGAAAGAGTGTCCATGCTGTGACGATGGCCAGCCTCCTATTGCCCCCCAGGGACCCAAGGCCGAGTGGGGAGAGGGGTAGGAAGGCAGATGCTCACGGAGACTTCTGGGTCTAGAAAGTGCCACCCCACACGTCTCATGTGTTTGATGCTGGCAGCAGCCCTGTGCAGTCAACATCATTAACTCCATTCTACAGATGAAGAAACCGATATTCCAAGAGGTTATGTGTCTTGTCCAAGATCAAACAAGTAACTGGGAGTGGAGAGTGGGCTCATTAGCCTCTCCGATGAGCCACAGTACCTGTGTATCTCCCTCTGGGGCTTTCGCTTCCTTAGGTATAAAGTGAACACTTTTGTATTCCTTCTGCCTCAAATGGTCCATGGCCTCTGGGCTGCACCAGGCATCACCACGGTCAGCCGTTGTGAAGTCCCCTTTTAGTCTCCTCACTTGACATATCTTTGGCGAAGCCTCTAACTTTTCTTGGGTTTCCTGGAGGAAGCTGAGTGTAACAGGGAGAATGCTGGTAAGAGGCCTTGGGAGACACAGTGGTTGAGGGTGTGAGCCCCGCTGGAAAATCTAAAAGGTGAGAGACAGGCTCACCTGAGGCTTTGAGAGGAACAAAGCACTAGTTTCCATTGCACCAGGATTGGCCTTCTCTCCTGGGGTCTGGCAGGTCAAAGGTGCAGGGTGATTCCCATGGACCACCTTGGACCATGTGTGAGAGAGGGCCAGTGTGCGCCATCTTAGGTTCTGTCCAAGAGGGCTACCTCAGTGGGCAGACAGACTACAGCTGCAAGGAGCTGGAGGGATTGCTGAAAGCTTGGAGGCTGGGGGAAGAGGAAGGGGCCAACAGGAATGAGATGGTTTTACACAGGGAACTGATGGTGTGAGAGCCCCAGCTTTGGGGCGTCTCCAGAGATGGCATGAGCGTGCATACGAGACAAAAATTCTCCCCAACATCAGAGGGAGTTGATGCTAGATCACCCCAGCAGTGCCAGCCAAGGGAGAACTTTCTGCTCTCTATTCCCTTTCTTTCTTTCCCTCACCTCATTCCAGTTCCAGTGGGTCTGAAGCTGGACAGGAGTAGAAGCTCAACGTTGGGGGACCGGAGAAGACGGTGACCACATGCCCCCCGCCAGTCTGGCCATCTCTACAGCCCTGGGCCGGAAGAGTGGAGGGAGGGGCCTCCAGCATGAATCAATATGGAGTCGTGACTATTCCTCCGGGCTGGCGTTTTGATTATTAAGCCAAGACTTGTGAGTACTGGAGAACTGTTTGAATTACTCAAGAATGATCAGAGAGCCGTGGGAACTGCCACGTTTTCACCCAGGCGTAGGGGAAGATGGGCTTCTGGGAATGCATTTTTTAAAAATTAGGAGATAAAAATAAAGTTGCTCATTGAATGTAATGGTTACACAAATCTGCTTTCTCCTTTTGATGGTTAATTGTGTGTGTGTGTGTGTGTGTGTGTGTGTGTGTGTGTGTGTGTGTGT